TTATCAAGCAAGCGTCGAGTTATAATTAGTTACTGGTTCATATTCATGTATATTCTATCAATGATTTATAGCCTGGTGGTTTACTCATTGATTTCAGTTCCAAAAACAAATTCTATTGAATCGATTAACGAACTATGCAGCGAATTAGAGCAAGGTGAAATCCACCTTTATATGTATAGCAAATTTCTGTATAAAAAATTAACTCAGGTATTATTTAAATTTAATAATTTACAAATTTATTACTTTTATAATATATATATTAATCTTATATGTGACCAGGATAAGAAATCACATTTATATCGAACAGTGGGCAAGAGAATAAATTTGCTGAATAATACCATAAACATGCTTGATGTTTTAAAATCTGATAAACACAATATTATTATACATTATCGTCATACCCTGGAGTACTATTTGGATAAACATTATATTAAATCCCATTACTTATTGCCATTGACTTCCGATTCGACATTTGGCATGAGTTTCATTGGAATGGGTTTCCAAAAGGGAAGTCCGTTAAGACAAACAATGGATATTTTGTAAGTATTTGAAATTAATGAATGACTATGATACAATAATTAAGTTTTTGTTTGATATTTTATAGATTGACATATTTAAAAGAATCAGGGTTAATAGGTTTTTGGAAAAATGCTTTATATACCAAATGGAGTAATCATGGCAATTTAATTAAACATATTTCAAAACATATCTTTAATTCATTAAATACTAATTCAAGTGTCAATGTGAAAATGATTAGTAATATATTTAACATGTTCATTTTTGGACACATTATATCCTCGATTATATTGATTATGGAGAAGATTTATAATTATAATTGTAATTAGTTTTTAATTGAATTTTTGAAACACATTCATAAATACATTTTAACAATTATTGTGTAATTTATTATAAATATTCTTTATTTGAAACAATAAATTTTCAACCCTTCAGGTAACCATCCGGACAGACAGTCCCCCCGTTTTGAGAAACAACTTATTTTCTCTGTCCCCAACATTCCCGACCACTTCCCGTTTGTTTCCATGGGAACGGCGATGGGATTCCCTTTAAGAGCGAATAACATGGAAACAAATGGGAAGGGAATCAATATTTGGGAAAAGTTGTAGCCCTAGTGTTCATCAGTTATAGTAACGTATGGTGTGTTTTGGTGGCAGTCAGTGGCGTACGGAGACGTATGGGAGCCGTACCGCTGGCCGTTGACTGAGTCTATGCGGCGCTCTGTTGCTGCTGTTAGCGGAGTGCCAGACGGAGGCGCCAATCTGTTGGCCGGTGTGCCCAGTGATGGACAGAACTGACCCAAAGCTTATATGCTGTGCAACGGAAGGATACTAACGCTTCTCATATTCGTCACAAACCTTAGCCAAGACCTGCGGGACGAGGAAAACGTGTCGCTTATCATACGAAGGGTGATAGTCGTCGTACTCGTGGCGGCCGTCACTATCGGCTATAAGACCAAACTGTCGGCCCTTTTGCTGGTCGTGTGGCTCACGGGTTAGTTTCCATACGAACCCTTCATTTGAACCATTTGTGTGTTTGACTAATGATTACTGTTTTTTTTGGATCTCCTTTTCCATCAAAATAGCCATCAATTCATAGTACAACTGTTTTTGGACAATAGACTCAAACAAAACATTGTTTTATATCCGAATAAAAAGCTTTTTCTATACCCTGTCCGTCATCGGCGGCCTCTTAATGATCGTAGTCTTAGGACCGGGAGATCTGTCAATAGATAACTACAAGAAGATCGTGTAGTCCCGCGGGAAACGCTGTTTTAGGTCTACTCTAAAGTTTCAATTAGTTTTCAAAGTGTATTCAAATGCCATTTAACCTGAATTTCAATATAATATTGTTTTAAAATATATGAACCGTTTGTCGTATAAAAGGGCGGATCTCTCAATAGTACTTTGAATTATATATTTCATAAACATATAGTGATTTGGTTTGTACTTAATTACAAGTAATAGCGGACTTTAATTTCAAAATTTCATTACATTTCAATATAAATGTCGAAAAATGTAATAATTCACTAATTAATTAATTTACATAGTTATAACTTTAATAATATTTAATAATATGAATATTATTCATGTTTTAGAATTAATAAAAATGTGATTTTTAAATATTTCGCAATGAAGTTTACATGGTACAGATCAATTAAAAGTCACGAATAATCCAATGAATATTCTGTTAAAGATTATAAACTTCCGTCAAATTTTTAAACAAGAATAAATAATTAGTGTATTATTATTATAACATAAAAAGTTGATTTATTAGTACATTATATGTTTGTCTCATTGAATGCAATGACGTGATTGTCGATCGAAGGGATCGCATGGTTTGCGAAACTCCTGTCCCATCAATCGGATCCATTTGGTGGCAATCCATTTGTGTGCCACCAGTACAGGACACCCGCTGTGCCGTAGCTGTCCATCGCGTTGACCTGATTGGTCCAAATTGTGCCAAAATAGTGCCGAGTATTTTGCGGGCCATACGGTCACATTGATGAGTGGCAATACTGTGGCCCCACCGGCGCCCACATCGCTCAGGTAGTTGATCCACGTGCCGATGCACAGGAATTTGTGTAATGATATATTTGGACTGTTAAAGGTGTCGCAGTGGTTGTCATAAAACCCTCCGACACTATACTTAATAACATTGTATGGTTCGGCGAAATGCATGTTAAGGCTAATTTTGATCTATTTTTATCTAATATATTATTTATGTTAAACACGTCTGTATTGGAAATCAGCTTATGTTGTATGCATTTCGTGTCTAAATAACAATCAATTCAATTCAATTCAATGCTTAGAAATATATTTAACATGTGTATTTTTGGACACTTAATAGCCTCGATTATATTAGGTCGTACGGAAAGGTTGTTTCTGGCTATAATTTAAATTTCT